AAACATATTTAATTTCCGATTGTCCTTTGAAATTAATTGTGACGTTCATAGCATCACTCTTAAATATTAATATTGCACAAATGTTTATGCTCATATTCGGTTTCACTCTGTATACCATTACATAAATCTGCATGTATTTATCCGAGTGCACTAAAGGATTTATTTTATTTTTCTAAATTGTTGGTTTACTTCAGAGGTCGATATTCATTACACAATTATTATTATCATGGTTGAACCTTTTCACTAGGTGTTCACTTTTTTCTCTCTTTTTCCCTTCTAAATAAATACTATTCCTAAGATTACGAAGTTTGTCATCAAGACAATAACTTGTATTACAATTAAATTAACTTCTCAGACTCGTCTTATCTTCAGTATGCATATATGATTCATACATGTTGATATTTCGTTATCCTTTGCAGCTTTCTTTCATGCCACGATACCATGTCATGCACTGACCACCTCTCCGCTTCTTCCAACCAGTCCCAGAGTCGGCAATAATGCACGACGTGGAATTCTCTGGGACGACGTTCGTAGAACATGTCCAAGCCACCGAAGTCGGTGTTTCAGGATGGTAACACCAATTTAATTATCATCTCTGTGCCCGAACACACGATGCCGAACCTCTGCATTACTGACATGGTGTTGCCACTGAATGTCAGCAATCCCTCGGAGACAACGATGATCGAACACAGAGAGTCGTCTAACGTCCTCAACTCGGAGAGGCCAGGTTTCACAAACATAGAGCAAAACTGCTCTCACCGACGCGTTGTAGATCCGACCTTTTACGGCCAGACTAACATCACAAAGGCGCCATAGATGGCCCAGATTGGCATAAGCCGCTCTGGCTTTCACTATTCGTGCATTGATCTCATCACTCACACCCCCACCAGCACTTATGCAGCTACCCAGATACACGGACTTCTCGACTACGTCTATCTGCTCACCATCCAGGGTGAGTACAGGATTGGAATCCTGCCAGTCTTGTAGAAGTACTTTGCACTTCGAAGGTGCAAAGCGCATACTATACCTATGGACACTGATTGCCAACCGATTAAGTGTGGATTGCATGTCTTGGGCATTATCACACTGTAAGACAATATCATCCGCATACTCAAGGTCGAGAAGTCTTTCTCCAGGTAACAGATCCACACCACCATTACTTACATTCATCAAAGCTGTTTCCAGAATGTCATCGATGGCAAAGTTGAAGAGGAATGGTGAGATTGGGCAACCCTGCCTAACCCCACTACTCGAATGGAACAATGAAGAAAGGTGGTTGTATCCCCTCACTCTGTCTGAGGTGTTTTTATATAGGGCTTTTAGGATGTTAATAAACTTCTCAGGCACACCCTTCTTCAATAGACAATCCCAGAGAACAGTTCTATCCAACGAATCGAAGGCAGCCCTGATGTCAAGAAACACTACGATTGTTGACCTTTGATAAGTATGGCGGTGTTCTTACATTTGGCGGAGAGTAAAGATATGATCAATACATCCTCGACCAGAACGAAACCCAGCCTGCTCCTCGCGAGTCAATCTTTCTCGGGTTTTGAACAACCAACGAAGTATGACGGAAGCCAATAGCTTGGACGCAATCGGAAGTAGACTTATCCCCCGATAGTTGTTACAGGAACGACGTGAACCCTTTTTAAAGATAGGGACAACTATCGACTCATTCCATGACGTTGGTGCACTCTCTAGTTCCCAAACCTTTGTAAACAACGTCGTCAATTCCTTAGTCAAAAAGTCACCACCATCTTTAAAAAGAGCCGGAGGTAAGTCATCTGGGCCAGGTGATTTGTGACGCTTCAAGAGTTGGAGTTCCTTGCGGACTTCCTTCTCGTTTGGTGGATCAGTCGTCACCGGCCATGGAGTGGTAGCTAGCCTAGAGGCTAGCTCGGTTCGATACTTACTTGCAACAGAAGTTGCAACCAGCTTGCTAACATCAATCTTTTGGTGGTGGTCACTCCGTTGGCCACTGAAAATTAAGGCAAGATTGGCGCAGACCAAGGCAAGGTCAGAGTCCAGATGGGTACTCCAAAAGGAGCAGCAGTCTTGTACACAACCACGCCGACGGTAGCTGATCACGATGTGATCAATCTGAGTCCAGGCTTGGGATGCAGAGGGAGGACCCCAGGTGGCACATCGGCGATGACTGTACCGAAAGTTAGTGCTAGCCAGAAACAGGTTGTGGTCTGTGCACAGTTGCAGTAGACGGTCCCCGTTATCTGACCTGCGACCAACGAGTCCCCATCGGCCACCTAAACGACTCTCTTCTGTGCCTAGACGCCCGACCTGAGCATTCAAGTCTCCGGCTAGTACTACAATATCTGTCGAACGCACTTTCTGGAGAAGAACAGATAACTGGTGGTTAAACTCATCCTTGATTGCATCCGGGCTGCAATCTGTCGGGGCATAGGCGGAGATGACGAAAAGACATCGTTTCTCACGCCGATTTCTTCTCACTTTGATGGAACTTTCTAATCTAACAGCACATAACCGACTGTTAATGGGGATCCAATCGACTAGTGCTGCCTCAGCTCTAGCGCTTAGTGCGACACCAACGCCTGCAAGACCAGACGAAGATGCCACAGGGTCCCCGGATAGGCGCACGTAAAACAATCTTTTTGAAGCGACAGATGAAGAGCGAATTTGTAGTACTTCGCTAGAGTCTTGAATACGGGTCTCGGATAGACAACAAACGTCGATATTAAGACTTTCCAAAGACATAGCCAGCCCTATCTGTTGACCAACCTGCATAAATGTGCGAACGTTGAAGGCAGCCAGTTTGAATGGTGTACGCGGTTTCAGAAAAACTGCTTCAGTACTCATATTCGATGGTAACATACAATTTTCAACCGGACAGTGACTCGAGAACGTTTAGATATAGTCGGATTTCCACCAAAGACGAGCCGCTGTATAAGTATAAAAGAGGGTGAATAATGTGGGAAATAATAATAATAATAATAACGACAATAATAGTAATAATAATAGTATTAATAATGACAATAATAGAAATGATAATTATTTGAATCGACTGATTGTTTTTCGGAGCGATAAAAGTAGTTGCCAAAGACATAGTTCATCGTTTGTGTGTGGGCTGTGATACTGCCCGGGTGCCCAAACCAAAGCAGGTGGTTTACTTAGGGGGCCACTCCCCGAGCCTTTGACCTAAAGGTCTAACCCACAAGGCAGTGGAGCATCGTAAGGAGATGCAATCCCATGGTAGCCGGTGACCAAAGATTGGTTCATACGCCATTTGTTCCCGCAGGATACTGGAGCCCATGTGCACCATTGGTTTGTGATCCGGTTAAAGCGCCGGACATTCGCTTTTCGTCCTCTCATTTTTGTAAATAACACCCCCGCCACGAGAAGGCAGTGAGTAGGACTTCCCTGGCAGAGGCTATATACGCGTGGCCATGTGAGAGCATTTCGAGAGGGAGAGCGGACTCACCCCACTCTCGGCCGTACCAGGGCATTCGGGGGCAGGCCGAATATTCCATTATTGCTAGTTAGTTCACCAAGGATCGCATCCAACGGAATCCGCCAATGCACATGCCTTACGTCTGTTTTAGAAAAGTACTTCGGTTCTCGTAATTTGAATAGTGTATCTTCAGTTTATTCAGACGTATGACTGTGTTACAATAACCGAGTATTTGGTGTCAGATGGTAGTCATCACAATTTCAAGTGTTTTCTATATATTTACGGCCACAACAGTGCATTGAATCCAACAAATCTTGCTGCTGATTTGCTTTTATGCTTCTGGGTTTTGTCAACTCATACTAACGTGAGTTTACTGAATGGAGTTCCTTATTTTACACTAACTATTTCAAGCTATGCTACGGCGAATACATAGGGCGTGGTAGAGTCAATCCTCACCTCAAGTTCCGAACCCTTATTAAACAAACACATAACATTTATGTGACAGATCCGAAGACAGGCTATGTGGTTTTCTATCTGATTCGAACTGGGTTTGAAATCATTCTTTTCCGCAGCCTCAGAACCTGAAAATCAAACCCTAGTTTTTGCTCGTTTTCGGCGCCTCATTTTTCCATACGATTGATGAGAGACGAGACTCTTTTGGGAACACCACTTGATGTTTTATGCTTCGTATGCACTACGTACTAGTAAACCACATTGATTCATAGCCTTGTATGTCAACCTAAGCTGTATGGTTTGATTGCCATATCCGTCTTTTAGCTACGTAGTCTTCAAATCTCCAATATTATAACGTTCGAGATATTTTAAGGTGATAGTCAGTTAAGTGGTGTCGAAACATTATTCACCCCACATTCAGTTCATACCATAAGCCTTTAATGTGGTCATATTTGGGTTATTCTCGAGTAAGCGAAAACGTGAATCGCGATAGTCATATTGAAGCACGAAAACACTTCAGCATTCGATTCGTGAAAGCCTCGTAACACCACTTTTTGCACTCACTACACTGCATACTACTGGCCACTGGGTGTTAACAACTCGTGCGCTAATAATAAACCTTTTTATTTTATCCAATCATCAGATTTTCATATACCTTGGGTAATAAATACCAACAAACAAAATTGATGAATTAAAAGTTTAATTAAGAATAAAAATCGGAGTGTGAACCGTCATATGTATAAAGCGCTGCAACCTAATACATTGTTGTGCCCAAAAAAACTTTAAGATACAAAGGAATCTTTTTAAAAAAAAGGATACTCTGTTTGATACGTCATATAAAGGTAATCCAATGAAGTTAAAAGTGTGGTATTGATGCTCTAAACAATCAAAACTGTGAAATATAATTCTGCCAATAAATATATCAGTGTTCTTCTAAAAAGCATGAGTTTGTAGAGATAACGAAATACCGTACATGTTGCATTCACATAGCGCATATATGTTTCCATACAATCCTCTGTCAATAGAATCTATTTAACTCAGTAACACTGAACCATGAGTTTGGAATTCGCAACAACAGAAGATCAACATATACTGTGATCGGAAACTGTTTTTGTCCTCCCACACGAAACTGTAGCAACTCGCATCAAGCCAAGAGGCATTTTGTGTAAAACGTTGGGATGAGAAGTTTTGTTCGCGAGGACAACTGTGAAGTAAAGAACAAAAGGAAAAGTGTTTCGATTTACCAGAGAGCAAACAAACTTCACTTACCCCGATTAAACAAAACAATGAGCAACAATCTGCAATAGCGCAAGCTTCAAATTACGACAGTCCGCAAATAAGAACTAAGTGCAAAGAGAGTAAAGTTTTTGACTAGCTACGGAAATACAGATTTGATTAATATTCTTGAGCAAACCAATAATAAAATCTAATGATTCTGAATATTTCTCATAGTTTAAATTGCACATGTAATGAAAATGTATAGTACTTAACGTTTTAAGGATGTGTTTAGCTGTATACAAAACGATGCTACAGAATATATGTGGCATACTTATGACAAGTACACATGAAAAGAAATGAATATAAGGCAAAAATAAAATAGGCACATGGTAACAAGATAAGTAACCAGGTCGAAAAGATATGTCTAGCAGACAGACAAAAATAGATTAGAGAGAAATAAGTGTGTACAGCTACAATGTGTATTGGAATAAAGGATAAGTGAATGTAACTTATTCGAAACCTTCGAAATTACATTTGTTGATCTACATCTACAGAGCTCGATGGTGACGTTATTAGAGAGATCTATTGAAATTCTCTTAAGCAGTCTAAAGTACGGTATAGTTCCGACTCAGAAATCTGTATTATGCTCCATAAAGCACTAACATACTATCGTTCACAAACTCCAGACTTATAAAACTAAGTTAATTCGGATTTCGCGAACAGCACTCCGAAACTTTCAATATTATGTGTGGGCTCTGGAAACTTTGAAAATATTATGTTGGTATTGGTTCTAACCACTCGATCCTCGAAGCTGGACACAAGATAACCGAGAAAATTTACATTCAGTATCTAGCGCGGAGAGGTCGGTAATGGTGGACTCGCAAAGAATGGTTCGGTATAGTATGGCTCGGTCCTGTTGACGTGGTCATTCTGTGTAACTTATACCTGTTAACAATAAATATATTATTCTACCCCCAGCTCTTTAAAGGTGCTAAACACCATACTGCTGATCTTCACTGTAAGACGAGTCAGTATAGACACTGATGTGATTTGGGTCTAAGTCTATTATTATAGTAGCGGATATAAATGTACAAATACAGAACTATACCATAATTCCGCGATATCTCTTCAGACTTGTCAATGGACATTACTATTAACTTCACAAGAAAGTATTCGAAATTGCATATATAATAGTAAAATACTGAGAATGCATTGGAAACTCGGAATACCAAAAAATTATAATTCGTACTGAATGAAAACAACATTTTTATTGCAACTAAACGTCATTAAGTTGATTCTCTGACATGTCGATCAATCGAATAATACTAAAAAAATTAGGGAACGAAGATTGGAAAGACTTTAAAACGTAAGTTGGGTGGCTAAGAGTTTACCGAATACATTTAGGTTATGTCATGACGTTAGGGCTTAATTATTTATTTGCTTCCTTATTTTGCATTTGCATAATATTTCTTGGCATCTTATACTAATTGTTGAAAGATTTGTGTATGACAATCTTGCACCCAAACTGTCCTGTACCACTATAGGAATAAATAGCCACACAAGCACCAGTCAGGCTTCTTACAAATAGGAAACAAAGCGTAGCTATATGTATTAAAGGATGACATAGAAGAAGACATCTATCTCTAAAGTCACGAGAGTTGTTCTCAATCTCTCTTAGCAATCATGAAATCATTCTACCGGATAAAGGATCTAGTTTCAATCTACACAGATCATTTGACGCGCTGGAATTTGCTCTAATCCTAGAATAACTAAACTAAAAATTGTCAGAAAAGAGTCCATTATCGCATTTAGGACGATTCACAAAACCTCACATCTAACATTTCAGAAGAAGTATTACTTGCTCTACATTCAATACAAGACTGTTTTAACTACAAAAGCTGACGAATCCAATACAACTGTAATTGTGAATAAAAAGGAGCGTGATGTTAAAGTTTCCCACAAAGCCGTGGTAAATGACTGATCAAAAAACAATGTTTGAAAATAGAGTCAAATCTCAGAAAATTTAACTTTTGAAAGAACTAAAATCCTTTACTGGGATCTCTTCATAGTCCATCTCAAGTTCTATCCCACGCAATATGTCACATTTTTATAGTTTACTTAGATCCCATAAACCAAACCCATAAATAAGGCTTTATAACCACCCCAACATTTGTACAATTTAAATGTCTCGGCGAAAAGCCGTGATGGACAAAACAATATATGAACTCAAAAATGATAACAGAGTTATGAAGTACAAATAATAATGTTAATATATATCAGTTAAATGATATAAACACAACAAAAATGAGGGACGTTACTTAATTCAATAGGTTTGCGCATGTTCTGATTGAATCTGGTACCAGAAATCCACAATTATAGATGATTGATAATTCCAGTAAGGTTGATGAACTCGCAGTGGTGTAATACAACGTAGGTTATGATATATTCTGATAAGAGTCTATAAATGTAGACAGGATTTGGTTTAGAGTTCAATTAGCACAATCACAAGTGAATGGAGGACGAGAGGTATGTGTGTAACAGTGTATTTGTCAGCAGTTAACAGGGTGTCATGCTATGAAAGTAACACAACGGAAGGAAGTGTTCAAGGTCATACACTTAACCAAGACGTTCAATCATTTAATGATAAACGTACATGCAATGAAAAAAATTGACAGAATAAATACAAACAACATCAAAAACTATTTACAAAATTAGCTTGTCAGGCATATCTTCACACAGCTGCCCCCAGAGTGTCCGGAGGTAACACTGGTTATAATAGGAACAAGAAAATTGTAAGAATATGGCACATACATGTACGCAAAAATGATATTCACAGTAATAACCAAAAAGAAAAAGGTGGAGATAGGTATGACATGCAGATTAGTAATATACAATGTGTTATTATGTAAAACAGCATTGATGTAGCATAGCATAACGAACACAAAAAGAATGAAAATGAGGTCATTCAAAGTCTTGGTTCGCTAATAATAATAATGTACAAAACTGTTAATAAACCCGAATTATTAAACTCGAATTCACTCGTTTATTATTGACAGAAACAGTCATTGAAAAAACGAGTAATTGTGGAAAAAATGTGGTTAATTATATACACGTGTGAAAAAAAAGAAAAAAGTTATAGATGCTATTGGAAAATTGGGTGAATTTAACGATGTATTACATCAATAATTGTTTGTTTGATTTTTTTATTCGGCGAAATGTACATAACGTTTGGGCTTTTCTACAGTCCTGCCTGAACGTGTTAAGCAAGTGGGCTTGGTACTCGGTTTTTCATCCTCCTCTGCTTTAGTAGTGGTTAGTGTGGGAGTTTGATTAACTGCAGTGCTATCGTCTTTGTCTTGTTGCGCTTCATAGAAGGCTGACTTTATTCTATCAATAGCGATAGTCTCTTTCTTTCTGCACTTGTTGATTATGAAGTGTTTGTTTGTTCTTTTAATAACTTGTTATGGTCCGCCGTAAGGTTGTTTCAGTGGCTTTTTAACAGCGTCAACTCGAACGAAGACAAATTTGCATGTTTCTAGGTTTTTGTCGAGCTGTATTCGATTATTATGTTCTCGCGGCGGTATTGCTTTGATTCTTTGCATTGTTTGTAGTACTTGACTAGCGAAACGACTTGGATCAGTTGGTACTGATGTGTCTGGGTCTACCAATTGACCTGGTAATGTAAGAAATGTACCGTAAACTAGCTCGGCGGCTGTACAACCTATACCATCCTTTATGGTTGAACGGATTTTCAGGAGTACGAGTGGTAATGCGTCACTCCACTTTGATGTATCATCCCGTGCCATCAGCGAGCTTTTTAATTGGCGGTGAAACGTTTTGATCAACCCATTAGCTGCCGAGTGATAGGCTGTTGTTTTGGTGTGGTTCACACCCAGAAGGTTTGTGAATTTCTGAAATCGTATGGACTGAAACTGGGGACCACGGTCTGTAGTGACGATAGATGGCACTCCATAGTTTGCTATCCAACGGTCAAGGAATGCGGCGGCTACTGTCTCTGCAGAGGTGCTGGTTATAGGACATGCTATCTGTTGTAAATTGAGAGATGTAACCCAATTGCCGTGCTTCTCGTGGTGAATGTCGGTCGTACGAAGTGTTGAATGAATAACATAAAGGTTTATAATCGGTCATGTTAGCAAAAGTTCGCCCTTGTAGTAAGAAGTTAAAGTGTTTGACGGCTAAATAAATAGCGAGTAACTCCCGTCCGAAAGTACTATAACGTTCCTGAGCTGGTGACAGCCTCTTGGAGAAGAACGCTTTGGGAGTAGTCACGTTGTTTACCTGTTGTTGCAATACTGCCCTGACGGCTTTTTGAGATGCATCCGTACACAGAATCGAGTGGGTTGTGGGGTCAGAATTTAGGTGTTGATGCATAGTGGCGTTAGCTATCATGGACTTCGCTTTCTCTAATGCCGTTTTGGCGTCAGGAAGTAGCTTGAATATTTGATTCTTTTCCTTCTTCGTACCTTTTTTGTCACTTTTCAGCATGTCAGTTAACGGCTGTAAAACTTCTGCACATGGTAGGAATCGGCGGTAGAAATTGCACGTTCCGAGAAAACAGCGTAATGATTTCACGGACGTTGGCTCAGGGTAACTGATAATAGCTTCAACTATCTGTTGAAGTGGTTTAATGCCTTGAGAGTCAATGTAACGTCTTAAAAACTTCAAGGCTGGGACGCCGAATATACGTTTTGAAGGGTTGATAACAACGCCATGTTTTTTAAAACGTTCAAAGAGGACCTGAAGGTTCTGGAAATGTTCTTCTATTGATGAACTAGAGATCAGAATGTCGTCGATGTAAGCAAATACGAAATCTAAACCTCTTGTAACAACGTCCATGAATCGTTGGAATGTCTGGGTGGCATTTTTTAGTTCGAATGGCATTATTAGGAACTTAAACAAACCAGAAGGTATAATGATGGCTGTTTTTTCGATGTCTTCTGGTGCCATCGGAATTCGGCGGTATGCACGCACAGGGTCGAGTTTCGAGAAGATACATTTACCGTGTAAGTTTAGTGAAAAATCATGTATGTGTGGAATAGGGTACTTTTCATGAATGGTTTGGTCATTCGGACGGCGGTAATCACCACAAGGACGCCAGTCTTGCTCTTTTTTGGTACCATGTGCAGTGGTGAAACCCAAGAACTGTTAGATGTTCTAATAATATCAATTCTCATCATGTGTCAAAATTCTCCCTCAGCCGTCTGCAACTTGTTTGGTGATAGTCTCCTCGCCCTGGCGCAAATGGGTGGATCGATGGTACTAATGTGATGTCGCACATCATGTGGGTTGCATTCCTTTTGATATGCACCCGTATTTAGTCAGGATATCTTTCAAAATGTTTTTCACAGGTTTCATTATTCGTACACCATGAATTTCATAGTCAGTGGGTGTACCGTTCACCTGCAAACGTGTATTTTCGTCAATCAACTTCCTTTTGCTCGTATCAACTAGTAAACTATGGGCGCTGGGAAAATCGACCCCGAGAATTGGTTGCTTGACTTAGGCGACTATAAAAACACACGTAAGTCTTCTACGGAGTCCGAGATCTAATATGAGGGATTGTTCACCGTAAGTTCTAATGACCGTGTTGTTAGCCGCAATAAGAGACAGTTTGGTGCTTGTCGTTTGTTGTCATCGTGAGAGGTGAAGGGTGATGATGCTGATTTCTGCTCCTGTGTCGACTAAGAAGTCTGAGCCAGAAATACGACCCCTGATGTGAAAAAGGCAGCTGGCGTGTTGGACGGTAACAGACGCCGCCATTACTGTCTGACCGGCCCGTTTTCCTGTTTTTCATGATTATTGGTTGTAAAGTTGCACAGTTGTGTGCAACGACGTGGTTTCTTACCATACTTCAGATGATACCAACATATTCCATCTGCGCCTTTAGGTGAACGAGGACGCTGTCTGGACACTGATCTTTTTCTTGAAATGGATATTTTCGGTCGTGAATGGATGCTCGCAAAAGTAGCTTGTAATGATGCTGAGTTGTTAACTGCGTTAATTGTTGCTGGATGTTGAGTGTAGTGTTCGTATCGTCTTTACCGGAAGTTTGTATCCCATTTGGACAATGACTGTCAGGGTATATCTCCATCATCTTTCCGCCATATGTGCTAGCTCTTCTGGATTGACAGAGCTTCCCGACACACTAAGAATCTGTCTGACGCTATGTGATAATCGCTGAAACCACATTTGTTTAAGTAATACTTCTGTAGGGAGCAATTTCCTACAGGTTTGATTCTGAGCTATTCTCTAGACCGTCGAATACAGAGTCTTGGTTTGGCCAAAGTCAGAACAAGCAAGCTATTTAGCTAGATAAACTTTATCTGTTTCTAAAACATAAATTAACATCGTTAGTGTACAAACAAACCGTACGGTCTATTAATACAGGGAAAAAACAGACAAATAACATACCGAACAGTAGCCAGAAAATAGGAAAAATGAGTCAACAAGCAAATGTTGTTTTACAATGAACATTAAACTGTGATTGGTTAATGAAGAGATACAGTCGTACAAGGTCAAAAGGAGTTAATGTGGTGGTGGGTGTTTCCCTTTATTCTTGGTGGGTTCGTCTATCGATCACATTTTACAACTTCATCTAATTTATATGAACCCGCTAACTGTTTCCTATGTCGTAGCAACTGCGACGGTCTCTTGTCCCCAAGTTCCCATGGTGTGAACAGTGGTTGTAGTAGTTTTTCACCAGAACGTGATGTACGTTGGATTACGGCAGCTTTAATTTTATCATAAGGATCAATCTCTGGTACATGGTCGATCAAATCCTCAACTTCTGCAACGATTTCGATGGGAAGTGCGCCGACAACATAGACATATTTGGTCGCCTGGGAGCGTATGCTTTTCGCTAGGAATAAGGTTCTTACTTGTGCGAACCAGGTCCTGGGATTGTTGGCACCGTATGCCGTTAGTCTAAACTCGGAAAAGGCATTGACTGAGCTTAAAATAATATCATCTGGATGTGATGAGTTGAGGTGTACACTGTCAGCAGTCATGCTATGAAAGTAACACAACGGAAGGAAGTGTTCAAGGTCATACACTTAACCAAGACGTACGATCATTTAATGATAAATGTACATTCAGTGAAAAAAATTGACAGAATAAATACAAACAACATCAAAAACTATTTAAAAAATTAGCTTGTCAAACATATCTCCACAAAGCTGTTGCAAATTCTGCCCAACTTACATAATGTAATTAAGGATTTTTATAACTTTAATTCTAAGACTCGGAACTCACCGAAAAGTGGGAAACAACGGTAAGCTGTGATGTTGTATCTTTTCGCAATAGCATTTCAGTCGAGGACGCCTAGAATTAATTAGCTGTTTGCAAGGTAATGAACATACTTTATTTGGTTGTTGTACATTGATTATTAGTTTAGTCATGAAATCCAAAAATTTTTTCTAACTTCAATTGTACGAATAAAGGAACCATGTGAAAATGGAATACACCACTTCCACGACTTTAGCTAGTCTATTTGTGGCAAATGTAGAATCAAGTATTCTCGTCAGTTACATCAGACCATTGAATCGGCCTAGGTATGTGGGTGATGCCTTCGCAATCGTGTAAATGTTGTTCCACAGAGCTTTGACCAAACTGATCAACGCAATTGTATTCAACATTAAATGAACTTACGAAAATAAAATGGAACACAGTCAGCTATCATTTTATGTTGGTTAGTTAAAAGGAGCCCTGGTAGAAATGTAATCTAACTACTTATCATAAACCAACGCACTCTATCATTATATCGACTTCAATTCAGAGCACTCACTCAATGTAAAAATTCCCTCTAACTTTGTGTCTCTTTAGAAGAGCAAAAAAGATTATCGAATATGAAAAGAATAAGCGAAAGGCACGAAAGTATATGGACAAGATTTTGCAGTTCAATCGTTTTCCGACAGGTATAATTAAAAATGAACTGAAACGAAATGGTTTATTATTAAGTAGCAGTTTGTCAGAGATTCTATGTTATAGTACCATAGTTCCACCGTGACGTCATGGCACGACAGAACTTCGATGTATCTTAAAACACCACATAATGACATCATACTACAAAACAACAAACACACTTCAAAGTGTTAAAGTCAGTATAAAAGATAAGACGAACTCTACCCCAACACAGAACTGTGTTCAAAGTTTAGTGTATGTCAGTTGTGATAATTTAGATATTGGATAATCACTTCGTGAACTACTGATTAGAGTCGAATACCACCCAACCAAATACTGAAAACCTAATAATCCTGCAGAACTTGTAAAATTTCAAATTAAATCAACAACAGTAGTACGTGCCATTTACATATTAAAATATCGAAATAGTGCGAACGGGTTCTTTTGATACCAATGATAAGGGATTTAGTGAAGTTCTCGAATATATGGCCAAATTCTACAACCCTCAGCAGAAAAAACTTTATCATCTATCCGACTTAGACGATCCATTCTTAACATCACTTCTCACTCTGTTTACATCTAACACCATTATAATGCAAACGAATTTAGGTCTACCTTTTCATATTGCAAACGCAACACACATCAACAAAAAAGTACCTCATATACAAACCTCAATGACCGAAGTGGGATGACAGTGGATAAGTCAGACTGGTTTATGAATGACTACACAAAACAGACTTTGTTACTCTATAATATTTAAGCTTGGGTTGATTCATTTCTATTTATTTATTCTTTAAGAAAGCGGCTTACACTGAGGCACTATACTTCGTGAAATTTAATTTTTCTACTCAGATTCAGATTTGTGTAGTAAGGACAGAAGGCCTACGGCCTATGTTATTCCTTTTCTAGTATGCTTCTGTGAGTGTCCAGTCTTCTCTTGAAAAAGTCAATTGAAGGTGCGGACACCACTGCTTCAGGCAGCAGGTTCCAAGTATTGATGACTCGGTGTGAAAACATGTATTCCACGGGTATTTTGTTCGTTCTTAGCTTCTCTACTTATCTGCTGTGTCCTCTGAGGTGTCCCGATCTAGTGGGAAGAGAGAGAATAAGTTAGTTCCGAAATCATTTCTCAGTATTCTGTACATCAGTATTAGATCTGCCCTTAGTCTGCGATAGGACAGAGTAAAGAGGTTCAGTTTTTCAAGCCGCTCTTTATATGATAAACGCCGGAGTTCCGGAATTGCACGCGTAGCTGCCCTCTGTACCATTTCTAGTATGTTTGAGTCACCTTTTAAACAGGGGCTTGCAGCCTGAACACAGTTCTCTAACTTAGTTCTCACTAAGGATGTGTATAATGTGGTGAACATGGTAGTACCAAACTTAGTGAATGTCCTTTTTAAAGCCCAGAGGGTTCGAAACCCCTTAACTGCGACCTCCCGGCAATGGGCCGTCGTCTTAAGATCATTGCTCACTGTCACCCCTAGGTCCTTATGAGACCGGACTACGGGTAATGACACATTCCCTATGTTGTACATATTAACCTTTGAATCCCCCAAGTGCATGTAGACACACTTTTCCGAGTTGATAGGCATTAGCCACTCTTTAGACCAGTTTATCATATTATTTAAGTCCGCCTGAAGAGTAAATGCGTCTTTGTCTCCAGTTATTACTCGCCAAATTTTTACATCGTCAGCGTATAATAACATTGGAGACTGTACTATACTTGTAAGATCATTAACGTACATTATAAAAAGTAAAGGACCTAAGATGGAACCTTGGGGTACTCCACTAAGTACTGGTCTCCAGATGGAGCACTTGGAATTTATTCTTACTTTCTGTCCTTAATCCATTTTAAAAGAGGTCTGGAAATACCAAGGTTTGCCTACTTCAATAGCAGTCTATTAGTTGGCACCTTGTCAAAAGCCTTACTGAAGTCTATGTAGACAACATCCACTGAGTTTCCGTTGTCTAGCGCATTAATCCAGAGCTCCCTAGCTATAAGGAGGTTCGTTGTGCAGGATAGACCCTTTCTAAAACCATGTTGTGCCACGTTCAGACAAAACGGATACATTAGGTTTATCATGAGAAATTTACATAATGTGCACCCTATTTGGATTTATATGGCTAAACTTTGAAAATAATTTGTTGTGAGACACCTTGTTTGTATAATCTTGCTTCGGTGGCATATTTTTAAACTCAGCATGGTAAGTTGTGTGTTGTTGATGCGTATCTTGTAGACTAAAATACGGGCATCAAAGCTACGTAATAAACCAGAGCCTGAACTACAGAAGCAACTTGGAGAGCTTAAGACGGAGCTTGGCAATCTTCGTTTGTATCGGGTAACGAGAGGCGCATCCTATCATGGAAAATTGAAGAAAATGTAAGTTTTATTGCTACCATGTGTTATAAAAATCTCACTTTTAGCCGGACACTAAGAAAGTCCATTGCCCGTGTATATACAGTTATTCATCAGGCGCAAAAACTTCGCCAACGTGAAGCTTATCGTTCCAAGAAATACGTTCCCAAAGATTTGAGACCAAAGAAAACCAGAGCAATACGCAGAAGACTTAGTAAAAAAGAGCAGTCAATTCATTCTGCGCGTTCAATGCGCAAGGCACGTGCCTTCCCTCCACGTGTATATGCTGTTAAGTGCTAAGTAATAAAAGTTTTGGTCAAAATCGGATCATGAAATTGCTGTTTGATTTTACCTAAGTTCCTTATATCCTGGACGCTAGATTCGTTAACATAAACGCTTTCGTAGTTTGCTGTGTCGGCTGCATATAAACTTGTACTGACTTGTTATATCTATGGTCATAAGTACCATCCCTCATATATATATATATATATATATATATATATATATATATATATATATATATATATATACGCATACTGTATGTCTACTTTAAAGTCTGGTTGAATACGATCCACAAACTGCTACTTATTAAATATATCAGCGAAACCTGACCAATCATCAGTGATGTGATTTGCGTCGACCGTTGTGATTGTAGTGTCAGTATTATCATATAATTACTGGTGGTTGTTCGCAATACTTTCAAGGATAACGATTTAATTCATGTTATACCTTGATTGATATCTTATAGTCACTGAACACGCAATCTGTATTGCTTGTTTTCATTTTGAATATCTGGTCACAACTATTGGGGTCTCATAGTGTTCATATTCGTCTGGCTTATTCAGCAGCTCAACTATCCATTCACGAGTGGAATGAACGTAAAAGCTTTTGGCTATAAAAACTTTAGGACGTAAATGGTTAAATTAGGCTGATTTAACAGTTTTTTGCTACTATGCATCTTGTTCTAGCAACTAGATAACGAAACGTTTACGCCTAGTAATTCGAAGTATCGGAGGCTGACTACTTTTCTTTATATGAAGTATCTGAGCTGTTTGTTCCTGCCTTTAGACTTCTGGCTGACGTATGACAGCAGATTGAACTTGTTCGGATTAATAATGATTAACACCCTTTATTATTCTATTAAAATCTCAACGTTTTTTACTGACCTAGAGATATTTTCCATACGGAAAAAATGGCTATCCATCTGTCATTAATCGTACTTTACAAACACGAATTTTCTCTATTTATCAACTTGAAATCTGGTGTTATCATTCTCCTGACCACACTAAAACTCAGTAAACATGTTGCATGTAACTTTAATCTTGTTTTTGTTCAGTTAGCGTATTAAATACTATGTACATATGATATCTATTACTAGTTTAACATTGCTTGTGCTTTGATGATATGTGCTAAGACCCCAGTTTGTTGTCAGTAGTAACAGGTTTCATTTCAGACTAGCTATAGTAGTAGTAGTGCTTTTGATATGTGATGAACTGATAAGATTTTTTCTGGTCGTTGGGTAGGCGAATGAATGTATTCGGACAGTTCTGGTACTGTATCTTACGTCCCCTCGCTGCCTTATGAAGTGGATCTCAAAACATTGTTTACATTCTCTTTTGCAATGCATGTCAGTGAACAGCTTGTTTTCATGTGACATGCACATCTTCGATTGCTATCAACGCACACTTAATTGTTAAAATTGGTTTCGTCCGGAAGATCCTATATCTGTTAGAGGTTGGTTTATGTTAGCTATCAATAGCCTATCCTTGTACCAGATGTGTTGTCTAGATATGCTTTGTATTGAAGAGGATCATACAACTATACTGCGTGTAGTGCAGCTTACTTGAAGTTTTTAAGACGTGTACGACATGTAAATTTGTGTTAATTATAAACCATACTTCTGTGTGAGGTAGTAATAATATTCATTTGACTAAACTGAAGTTCGCTCATTGGGGAATGATTATGAAGCCTTCTAAATGGCTAAACTAAAGTGGTCGGTGTGTTTCGGACTTGGAAGCAGTCTTTGGATCTGGTAACCTTTGAAAACTATACCAGTTTATTCACACTACTAGCTGCGGGCTTGGCAGTTGTTAAACAATCTGCAGGACGCCAGTCGGCGTTTCCGAAGAAAACCCCGAACTCCAGACCGCACCTTGGTTTTCAGAGTTGTAAAAAAATTAAAATACTGAGAAATCAAAGGTCACTTGGTGTGAACGACATGTACCAAACCTTTTCCAACGATCGATGCAAATTTCCTTACACGTTTATAACAGACATTCGTAGATATTTTGTAATATCTCTTTTTTCTTACGGTTATGACCCAGCTATTCCTATTGCGTAGTATTCTCGGACACCGATTCACTCGACAAGTCCCAAAATCAAAACACTGTTGAACAGGAATAGATTATATTCCAAATAACAAGGTTAGATGGAAGTAAGAAGCGAGTCAGAAGCACAATAGGGAAAACGTCAGTATACTTATAGTTTTTACATAAGAAGATTCCAGAGTATTCTCCAACTATCGACTAGTGCTGACTGGATAAGAATTAGCCAATCAGCGTGCACCAAAGCATCATGCATTGAGCATGCTATAATCTAGTCTATGTCCCGCTAACACCTCTCCTTTGAGCAGATTCGTAGGACCTGGTGCTAGGGCACAACTGCAACCGAGTGACTGACCTGTGCTTTCGATTAGTCCGTCGTCTAGACAATAGAGAATTGTCACTTTTCTTGCACAGAAACTGACGTCTATTCCCGGCGTTTTGATTTCAAAGGTGTCTAGCAGAACATCAAGAGGTAATCGATATTGAATCTTGTTGCTGGCTATCGAAGTTGCTTTCAATTAGTTAGCATGACGTACCCAAACTTCCGAGCCAACTGACACCTCGTAAACCACACTCCCCTTCTTTATCAAGATCCGACCAGCTGTCCATGTAGGATGTTTCCCACGATAGTCCATAGCAAGCATTCTTAGTCCCACCGTGAACAATCGTCTTTGTGCCCCATGATGTCAGTTAAACTGATTCTCTATCGATAGGTTTCGTTGGGGTTCAATAGCTGGCGTAGGACGGATGACATCGAAATGTGTCCGTATCTTTCTGCCAAGTAGAGCTTCTGCTGGAGAGACCCCGTTAATTGTCTGAGGGTTCGGTGTAGAGCGATAAATAGACAGGAACCTCTCTAAGATATCTTCAGTGGTTCCTTCCTCTTTGGATTTTTTTAGAGCATTTTTGAATGTACTCAACAAAGCGTTCCACTTGGCCATTTGATTGGCGATGGAATAGAGGTGTTCGGAGGTGCTGGATTCTCTTCTGCCGACAAAATTGTGAGATTTCGGACGTAAACTGTGTTCCGTTGTCACTAACTATCAATTCCGGGATTCCAAAACGACTGTATAGTTGACGTAGTTTACTGACTGTGCAGCTTGCAGTCGGGTGTTCCATGAGAAAAATTTCTGGCCATTTGCTATATGCATCAACCACCAAAAGGTGAGTTTGTCCATGAAGTGGACCAGCAAAGTCCAAATGTATACGCTGCCACGGTAACTGTGGTATTGGCCATGACTGCAGCTCTGCTTTTCGCGGTGCTTTTGTTGCTAATGCACATTTGGTACACGAACGGGATAGCTGCTGCAGTTGGGTGTCTAAATGCGGCCAGTATACATAACTTCGTGCTAGTGCTTTCATGCGATTTACTCCAGGATGTCCTGCATGCAACTGTTCAAGCACTGCTGGTTGTAGCTTCTTGGGAATTATGACACGTTCGGCAAACAGCAGACAGTCATCGATGATTGAAAGAGAGAGTCTTCGCTGGTAAAACTGTTGAAGCTCTGTGGAACTGATTTTCGAGGGCCACCCTTCTAGGTGGAACTTTCTAACTTCTTGTAGGGTTGGGTCTCGAAGCGTTTCTTCCCTGACTTCATCTGACGACACTGGAGTGTTTCGAATGGCATCTGCCACTATACTTCGTATTTCTGGGTCTACTGCTGTGGAGGCAATGATTATATCCTCTGGTCCAGGATGTTGAACTCCAATTAATCGGGAGAGAGCGCCGGCTTGACCGATAGTATTTGTCGACTGATACTTGATATTAAAATCATAACTCAGGAGCATTGTTGCCCAGCGCTGTAGTCTATTAGCCGTATAGACGGATTCCTTTCTTAGAACCAAAGATTGCAATCAAAGGTTTGTGATCTGTCAATAGAGTAAATGTACGACCATAGAGCATTTTATGAAATCTTTTGACTGCGAAAATGATTGCAAGAGCTTCCTTTTCAATTTGGCTGTAGTTTCGCTCGGCTGGAGTAAGTGATTTAGCAGCTTGGGCAATTGTCTTTTCTGATTTATCCGGAAACACGTGAGATATCACTGCTCCAACTCCATGACTAGAGGCCTCAGATGCAACAAAAATTTCCAAGCTGGGATCGAAGTGCGTCAAAAGAATCTTTGAGCTGAGCATTGATTTGACTCTGTCAAAAGATGCTTGACATTCTGCTGACCACTGCTAAGGTTTATCTTTCGATAGTAATTCATTTAGGGGACCTCTCACTCGATGCATTTCAGGTAAGAATGTGCTGTAATGACTGATTAACCGCAAGAAGGATATTAATGAAGAAACATCAGTTGGTTCGGGCATCTTCTGAATGGCTTCGATGTTGGCAGGGTCTGGTCGGCGACCGTTCTTATCTAAGATAAAACCAAGGTATTTGATCGAATGCATGAAGAAGATACATTTTTCCTCACGTAGTTGGCAACCATACTCCAACACTCGGTTAAGGACTTGGTGTAGTCGATCAGAAAGTTCACTGTCAGTTGAACTCATAAGTATGATATCATCTAGATAAGCTGCTGTACCAGGTATACCTGTTAGCATCGTATCCATTATTTGCTGAAAGATGGCGGGTGCGGTCTTGACGCCAAATGGTAGACGGGTGTATTGAAATAACCCTCGATGAGTGTTAATGGTCAGAAGCTCTCTACTATCTTCATCTACTTGGACTTGGAGATAAGCATCGGAGAAGTCTATTTTCGCGAAACATGTCCCACCATTAAGCTTGGCAAACAGGTCTTCCGGAGCTGGTAAGGGATATTGATATACATCTAATGCAGCATTTAAACCGGTCGAGAAATCGGCACATATGCGTATAGTCCCATTGGCCTTCCTAATCACTACGATCGATGCGGCCCATGCAGAGTAGTTAACTGGTTGGATTACACCAGCCTGTTGCAAGCGAATAAGTTCCTGATCGACTAGCTCAAGTGCAGCATATGGTACAGGACGTCTCGGGCGAAAAATAGGTTTGGCATCTGGTTTCACTGGTAAGTGCGCTTTCATCTCGGTACAGTGGCTAAGGCTATTCTGAAAAACAGGCAAACTTTCTAGTAACCTTTCACCTGTCTTCTTTGGAAGTACTGGGGTGTCCAATGATGAACACGATACGTTACAGACACTGTTAATTGGTATATCCATTATTCCAAGTTTGTCTAGCATATCTAGACCAAGAAGATCAAGGTTCGGCCGTTCTGTTAGGTAACATATTCCTGTACAGTTAGTTCCATTGAAGGAAAATTCACACTGTAATTCACCAACCAGTTTTAGCACACCACCTGATGTGTTTTTAGCCGTTTTCTTAGATGGCTTCATTGGCGGTTTACCCAGCATGTTATACGTTTCTCAAGACACTAACGTGATATCTGATGCCGTGTCAATTTGAAGACGAGCTGATATGCCGTTTATCTGGATGGTAACATACTTTCTCTGAATGTCATAGTTTGTTTGAAAGGCAGCTACCAGAGAAAGAGATTTAGACTCGGCTGATTTCACATGTCGAGGACGTTTATGCTTCTTCTTAGGCTGAGACGTACGCTTCGGTGGACAATGACCACGTTTGTTGCACGCCTGACATTTATGCTTCTTAAATGGACAGAATCGTGCATAATGCCAATCACCGTATAACCAGCATGCAGTCCTTGGTTTGTTACGAGTTGTTACCGGCTTCTGAACTTTTAACCTAGTAATAGTATTTACATTACCGCAGGTTAAATTAGGATTTCCCTGATCAATCAACTCGTTGTCGTGTCTGATGCTTTGTAGACGTTTACACTCATCTGTCAATGTTCTGAGTGTGACGTTTCGGTCTTGATCCGGTTGAGCTAAAAGTCTAGTCCTGATCTCAGCATCTTGTGGTGACTGAAGAGCTTTGATGAATATTAAACATTTAAATTGGTCATCAGTCAACGAGCGTAACTTGAAACGTTCACATTCTCTGTCGACGATGTCTGCTAGAACACCATATTCATCGGCTTCGCGTTTCACCAAATTTAGACACCGATATCGAATACTAAACAACCAGGATTACTCGCCGAATACCTTTGACAACTGAAATACCGTCTCCTCGAAACTGAGCTCTCGAGGTAACTTTGGCAATATATGGTCAGTATAACGTGCATGTTCATTGCTTCCCAACTTACGTACCAACAATCGGGTCTTCCACGCATCGTCTTGGTTACAGAATTCTGTTCTAAATGTATCTTCCCAACGTTTGAACCACGTGAGAAAAGTATTCCCACTTTCGGGATCATAGATGAATTCTGGGATGCTGCTAGCAACTGCATCACAAGACGTACTTGAAATAGCATGTGGACTCGAGCTGTGGATGTTGAGCTGTTGAATCAGAGTCTCCAACAACCGCATTTGTGCATCAAGTTGTGCTTGCTGTTGTTGTAGTATTCGGTTAAGCTGGTCATCTGATATGGGCATCTTGAATTTGTTTTCCTTTTTCCCCATCGCCACTGTTATATCTCTCTTTTCTTACGGTTATGACCCAGCTATTCCTATTGCGTAGTATTCTCGGACACCGATTCACTCGACAAGTCCCAAAATCAAAACACTGTTGAACAGGAATAGATTATATTCCAAATAACAAGGTTAGATGGAAGTAAGAAGCGAGTCAGAAGCACAATAGGGAAAACGTCAGTATACTTATAGTTTTTACATAAGAAGATTCCAGAGTATTCTACAACTATCGACTAGTGCTGACTGGATAAGAATTAGCCAATCAGCGTGCACCAAAGCAATCATGCATTGAGCATGCAATAATCTAGTCTATGTCCCGCTAACATAATTGGTGACCGTCAATGCAGAAGACATTATCTTTTCATCGTTTATTATTCACATGAACGGTTCGGACAGTAAATGTTTGAACGTGTTCTTATGAGATGTCCCATCTATTATCAGAGTTTGCAGGTGAGTCATTCTATTCGACGAAGAAGCTGACAAAATACTGGGTCATTTGGGCCCTTAGAATGGTCGTACAAGGTTTTAAATGGCTTTCCTTTAGTGGTCCGGAATGTTGCTTTAGAACTAATTTACGTCAGTAACTAAACTTACGTGATTTAAACTATCTGGGCACTTTATTTCAACTCTCGTCAGTCCTGGTTGTTTGTTTTTAATAATGATCTTTCCCCATGGATTCGAAAGATACCTTGATATTAACCAACTTTTATCACGTTGGGCATGAAATTGTTTGTTTGTCGACATATGGGGGAGGGTGAGACTCAACAGTCTTTTCTGTATTACTCTGGCTGTAGAATCTCCATGCGTAATTCGATGTACAGTGCTGATAGGAACAAGTTTCATAAATGTTGGGGATCGCTAGGTTAAAATTGTGTTGTACTGAACCATGTTGGCTGGTAAACGCAGACCACTTTGTTGTCATAAACTTATTGATGACCGGTCAGTGGTCAGATATATTGAGTGATATGTCTCAATCAGCCGAAGGGGTGTTAATGAGTTCTTCTAGATGCTAAGTTCCAGCTTCTCTACCCATATACTGTTGTGTCTTTAAGTCTGGTTAGTTACCACGTGATTTATTCGCCAATCGAAATACGACCTAATCACTCTTGTACTAAGTCAATGACGTTCGACTGGTCTTATCAACCTAGCATCCTCATTGGTTATTTGCTCGCCTAATCCGTCCATCTGAGTCCAGAATATCAATAACAGCTTCCGCTATGCTAATCATTTCTCCAGACATACTTGGTTTATATACCAACCAATAAATAGGAAATAACATTTATACACAATAAAGCCAAAAAGTGGATGTGAACATGAAAGACAGTAATTAATAAACTGAGTATAAGTTAAGAACAGTAAGTTTTATAATAAATTTTAGTTCAAAATGAAGTTTATAAGATGAATATAGATATACACAGTCAAGTTGCTGAATAGTTATACAATAAGAATATGTGTGGAATATTGGTCCATTAATATATCTCTGAAGTTACTCGTAGTTTAATCTTCACTATATATATTAGTTTTTTCTGACCATCATTCGAATGTTCAGTCCTACTCACTATCATTCATACGATTATCATTTTAATTAGTGGTGTTCCTCTTAATTATTACACCCCTTTTCGCTTATTCGGAATTGGGACTTGTGCTGATGTGCATTGATTGCTTCTGACTAGGTGATCATTGCATGCTTATGCAAAACTTTGTCAGTATATACTGAACAAATCTGGTATTGTCTCAGTATCATTGCCACTATTGTGTAATGAATGTAGAAGTCCGATCGGTACACATGGTCTTCAGCGAAGAAGTGAGCACTTATGAATACGATGTACATCTGCGTCCCAATGACGAAGTACCTGTTTTTGCATCGAGTATTGTTTATTGATTCTGGTATTAGCCTTAGAGAAGTTTCAGCAGTTACCTCGTGGTTCGCATTCCTACATTAAAATAGTTTTGTCTTAAAAATTCCAGAAGTGTAGTATTAGCATCCGACTGTGCTGCTGGAATGCACCAAGTGGCTACGCATGTGTATTTAATGACACTCTTGATGGTGAATTTGAGGATCAAATGTGTCTTGAGAGCCACAGGCAGCACTGCAATTTCATGTTATCGAGCGTTCGTGTGTTAATGATAAGTCATTGTTATTAAGATCCTTTAATATAGAATCGGGAAGATAACATGCCATATCATCTAAAATAATCTTGTGATTTATGTCCAAATAACAGCGCCACGTGAAAATGATAATTCCTGGTTTTGATACATGTATTATAATTTCTACTATTCACAGTATTTAAATAAAGCAAGAAAAAATATTGGTGCAGAATAAATTCATATTTGTTCTTACTTTATTTACATTCATAAAGGGAACCAATTGTATGAAATATTCACAGTATGTTGGTGACGCTATTGTATATTAGACACTAACGTGAAACGAGAGATTCAAGTCAATAGCAATATGTAATGTAGCTGTAATAGACATGTGATCGTTTGATTACTGCAGTGGTTGATATTTAGTCACAGTAACACGACTATCCTCTTCTGTCCTCTTACATCCGGGAAAATGCGATGCAAGTTGTTATATTTCATAATGTGAGGATGATGTATTTTCAGATATTTTCTCTCTAATTCTTTTTATCATACAACACATTAAGTTGGTCAAAAATCAATAATGTTTTGGATGAATTATTGCTTTAGTACCTAAGATAGCAAAAATCCACACTTAGAGTAAGATGTACGAAGGATATAAACAATGCCAGAATGTTTGGAATGCGCTCCTCTCCCTCTAGACGTAAGCTGTTACTTCAGGACTGGTCTGCGTCAACACCTGGACCGATGCATATATGTGTTTGGTCCTACGTTGTAGCTGACTGACTGGATTTTCACCAATCCGTCTCACTAATGTTGGGTTGTTTCATGTCATGCTGATGTTGAGGAGACAACTGAGCATAGAACATCACTCATTATCTTTATATTATGGCGAAGTGCATTTTCGGATCACTTGATTGGTCCTTATTCGTTAATGTAAGAAGTAGATATCATATTAGTCAATTAGCTAATATATATCCTTTAATTAATTATGAATAAGTTTATGCCAATAAATTTATTCCGCTGCAAAGTATATCGATTCTTCTGTCGGTGTATCTTAGAATAAAATCTAGTTCTACCTAAAGTGTAGCACCATTTATCTAAAAAAAACCTCGATCGTCATCCACACACTTCTCGACTTTCAGAATTCCAGTGTTGAACTGGAGGTATTTATTTGATAAGTATTTAGGTCTACTTCTGTAAAAAGAACACTGACGGAAATAAAGTAGTACTCTATAAGTATGGTGCTTAGGGAACTTGGGGGTAAACGTGCGCATATCTCATTATGGTGAACTTGCACCAGTAAGGATAGTCCTGGGTATACTCCGGAAAAATTGAACGTAGCAACTTCAAAGGAGTTTATTTCTGAACGAAATATCTTTTTAATATTCGGAAGAAGCTACACCATTCCTGAAATGACCATAATAATATTACGTGTGATGGGTCATCCTCTTTGATTCTCTATTCGTGTACAATCTGGAGTGCACTAATGCTTAACATTATTTTTGTTTATATTTTGTCTATTTGAACATCGAAAACGCGGAATGTAATATAAGTACCTGTTTAACAATTTCAATCGCAAGCTCTCCATTCGAATCGATAAATGAAACTTGGAATGTAATCAGTAAAGTCATGACAATGTTATTACTACCCAGTCTCCCTATTTTGGGGTTTTACCCAAAGTGTTATAAGATTCTGGGGAAAACGCAAAATCTCCCCAAATATTTTGTAGATTTAGTCCTGACCTGGAGAAGTTTTGAGGTTTTTGTGCTATTTCCTCAAAAAGGACAAAATTTTCCCTGAAATAAGGAGATTGAATAGTTTTGTTTACTGTTTACAAAGCTTAATTGATGTCATTGGGGTTATGTAACATTTGCAACTACTTGAATATTGCTTATTAAACATGTGGAACTCATATCTAGAAAGACGCAATGCGAGTGACAAAATACAACCAAGATATTTGGAATTAATTGAAGTCATGTATAGTGTCACGCAAGTCATGCCCTACCGTACAAACTTCTAATGTTTTGTTATTGGGGTACGATATCATTTGATAAAAATTACGGGTTTATCCGCTGTTTTACGAAAGATTAAAGCCTACTACATCTTGATCATCGTAACACAAGTGATTTGCCGAATACCGGGTAACGTAATACCCTCCAGTTTCAGTTTAGAAAAGACGGGAGGCCTGATGGCCTGTGTTAGTTCTGGCAATGATGATCTCTCAGTTGATCCAACTTTCTTTTGAAGGAGTCAGCGGATGGAGCCTGAACCACGTGCTGAGGTAGTGACTCCTCCTCGATGATTTGATGGGAAGGTCGATAATCGGCTGACAAGTAATTTGTCCTGTGCTTGTGAACACTTTGGAGTGTCCTCGTCAGTTCTCTGTTTTGGAAGACAAGAAAAACCAGGGTATATCATGTGCACATTTATCACTAAGCAATTTGAAAACTGTAATCAAGTCACCTCTAGTTCTTCGATATGACAACGGTAATACGTTTAGCTTGGCCAGTCGAGCATCACACGGGAGCTTCGCTATTACGGGAATCGGCTTAGTTGCCGTTCTCTGAATCTTTCCCAAAAGCTCACTGTCTTTTTAAGCAGAGGCTAGCCGCTTGCAAGCAGCACTCAAGTTCAGGACGCATGAACACTGTATTCAAAGTCAAAAATGTTTTAGCATCTAAGTGAATAAAGGCCCTATGTATTGACCATAAAGATCTAAAACTTTTTATGACTATTTTACGGCGGTGTGCAGCAGTCTTTAAGTCTTGGCTGACGATGACTCCTAAGTCATTATGTGTCTGGACAACGAGTAGCTCAGTGCTATTCATCGTGTATGTATCTGTACCTTAATGACTGATATGCATCACAATACAATTGGAAGTAATAATCGGCAACTGCAGGTTAGAGACCATTCAGATAATTTCCTCAGGTCATTTTGGAGTTCTAAGCTGTCACTCTCACATCGTATCACTCTCCATATCTTGACATCGTCAGGATGTAGCAAGGCCGATGATGATAGTAGATGAGGAAGGTCATTTACATACAAGGGGAATAGCACTGGCCCCAAAACTGTACCCTGGGGCACAACACTAAGTACAGTTTCCCAGTTAGACAACTATGAGTTCACCTGCACCCTTTGTCGGCTCCCAACTTGGAAGTGTTTTATCCACATCAATAGATTTCCTCCAACCCCAACATTTTTAACTTATATAACAGCTGATTGTGTGGAACTTTGTCAAAAGCTTTGCTGAAGTCAATGTAGGCTACGTCTACAGGTAACATTTGATCCCGAAGAGCGCACCAGCTTTCACGAGCGACCGATAAGTTGGTGAGACAGGAATAACGTATTCTGAAACCGTGCTGTTTCTCCGAAAAGATCCGGTTATCATCGACGTACCTAAACAACTTTTAAAAAATCTTTTCTGAGGTTTTAACAATCACACTAGTTAGGCTAACAGGTCGGTAATTCTCAGGTTTCTGTTTCGTACCTGTCTTTTGGTAAACGATCCTGCGTTACGGATAGATTAAAGCATATACTTGAAGGGTTCGCAATGAAGTTAGATAATTCCTTTAGTAGCCTAGTAGCAATTCATCGGGCCCTGTAGATTTACTTATGTCCAGCTTACTTAGTAGACCAAAGACATCGAGTTCTTTAATGGCCACGTTATCCAGTGTATGTATGGAGGGATTTGTATGGACTGACGGGAACGGTGTTTCTATGTTATATACATTGCGAAAGTAGTTTTAGAATACTTGAGCCTTACTAGAGTCATCCTCCATTAATGATGAAGCAATACTGTTCCCCATAGTGAAGGAATATGTCCTCTTCTTTTTGATTCTTTGTTTTATATATGAATACAAGCGTTTGGGACACTCTATGGAGTGACGATTTTCCCTTCTTACAACCTTCTGGACTTACGGAGGGTCGAGACACAGGTATTCCGAGCTTTTTAATACTGAGATTTTGTCTCATTAGTTTCCGGACGTTAGGTCTAGATTGAGCTCACGCGTGCTCGTGTTAGAAAATTACACAGAAGTCAAAGGTTAAAACTGCATGATTACTTTTACCTAGGGGTGGCATGTAATGGAGGTTCACAACGTCTTCTTCACAGTGAGTCAATATAATATCTAGTAAGGATGATTCAGTGTCCGGGTCGTACCTAGTCGCTTCTTTCACATGTTGCACCAGGGCACATGTGATAACCGTATCAACTAGTTTCTGCTCGAATGAATTATCTGGCGATTCAGTTCGCAGATTTTCCCAGTCTACCATAGGTCCATTAAAGCCCCCCAGGATTAGTCATCGATCGCTTTGTGACCAAGTATTGAGAATGCTTATCAAGATCTCATTTACCTCACAGCTTGGACTGCGGTAGACCAAACCAATCAGCAGCTCTTGTCCCTTGCATTCCAAGCGGCAACTAACTGATTCACACTTCCCACTTTCATGGGTTACACTGTCGGTAATGGTAAATGGGATAGCATTCATAATGAATAGAGCTACCCACCCTCCCTTACATTTCTGGATTCTGTTGGCCCTTACCAACGCAAAACCCTCGAAATCAAGTTTCATACTATCTATAGGCTGCGTCAGCTAAGTTTCTGTTACTGCAATTATATCTGGCTTTATAGAGTCAATCTGTACACCTAGTTCCGACCGCTTATCGAGCGATCTTCGGGAATTAGTGTAGTGGATCTGTAGCCTATTTAAGTGGCTTCGTGTTGCACCCAGAGTGGGTTCGGCATTATTCTCTGTCGAAGCCTCGCAACCCGAAAATTTACCATTTTTATGTCCTTTTCACCAGCGTCTAACCTAAGTTGTGGTTCTTTTTCGGCTTCCCGTCTTTTACACGGTCTGCCAGTTGCACGTCCTTACGGAAAAAAACTCCTGCAACCTTTAGTTTATGTCCGTTCTGTAAAATTAGGTCCCGTTCATTTGCAGATCTGAACACTACTTTAAGCAGTCTGGGTTCATTAGATTTCAAGTTCGCCTGACTACCTACTCTGTACACCTTTTAGCAAGGTGACTCCGGAGATGTTTTGAGGCATAAGTTGATTTAGTAGCTGTTTAATCAGCCCAATGCCATGCTCAAAACTATTTTTTAGGTTCATCGCTTTCACTCTTTGGTTCTATGAAAAATAATTCACCTACCGCTGTGATCAGTTTTCAATTTCTCGGCTAATTTTTTTGGGGATGGGTTCTTTTTTATATCTTCATGTCTTTTCTTCTTTACGACCTCTACCTATTCGTCAACTATGGTTGGAGTAGCAACCACAGTCGCGTCAAACATACTGTGGGATTCCGTAGGGTTATCGATGACTTGAGAAGTGAGGATGTGTTTCCTGCTAGAGACAGAACGACCATCGTGATCACTAGTCCTAGGCGTTTCCTTCTGGACACCATTTTGAAGACGATGGACAGAAGAAACTTCTGTCCTTGGGTTTTTAATTAAGACAGACCTCTTTGAAGACTGTCTTTTCTCCTTCGATCAATGACAGTCAGATGA